GGCGTCGTTCTCCATATCATGACGTCCATTACATGACATACTACACTGTCATCGATGTAACCTTCAACAGGTGGTTTTCTTCCATAAGACAAAGGATCAAAAACTACAACAACAAAAAAAGGATAAGATCAAAAATATATCTTCTGAAAGATATACCCAAAACAAATGATGTGGTTTTCCTATTCTAAACACTTCTTATAGGGATGAGTTTTACAATTCGTGGCTCGCTTTTACGGTCTATGGCTTGTGGAATTGTTTACGACTAAAAAAATTGCAAATAAAAACACGTGCTCACAACATGCTAGAATGAAATATTACAAATAATCCAACGTGTACGCTGTACATGTAAACATATTTCGTCAAGAAAACCAATAATACAAAGTTGGTTGGTTTCCATATTCTTTTTCTTGAGCTATTCAGTTCTTGATACAGAATTTATTGGTGCAAATTGGAAACAATTCATACATGAGCTGCGGATGCTAAGAAATTGAAAATTGGAAAGACGCTTTAAAAACCAATGTAGGGCTCAATGGTAAAGGGTCGGTGGGGACAGAGCGTCGAGCCATGATCTTCCAGTTCCCAGGGAATTGGGACTATGATGTTTCACTTTGTTCTCGATTAAAAAATAAGTGAATCAAACCTCTACTTCTTAATTTTTTAACGTTGTTCCTTTCACCACCTGTTTCTTTCATGTGCACTTTGGAAATTTGCCATTTTATTTTCCAACGACTTGGTCAAATAAGGAGTATCTACAAACAAGACGTCTTGTTGTTTTAAAAAGACCAGACCAAAGGACCGATATTTGTATGTAAATATTAATTTTGACTAAAATTTCATAACCAATTTGCCACATTGTTGATTTGAATGGCCTTTCGATCAACATCTCATTTCTCACTGCGACGTTAATTCAATCCAGTTGCATTACGGAAGAGAATACTAAGCAAAATCAGATTATGTTGATCTATAGCTAAATTCTCTACAGCTATTTTAAAATAAAGGGCGCTGTGAAAGAACAGTCAGTTGAAAGCTTGCCAGGTAGAGACTATCCTAACGTTACTGACAGGGCTAACTTCACTGCTTACTGAAGTCGACAAAAGTTCTCAACACGGCTGTAAGTCAAAATGTATCAATAATTTGATATTTTCTGGTTACTTACCTTTGAATTAATGATGATTTAAATGTAAGGCGAAATGTTCAGTAAGGCTGCACCTAAATAAGAATCCAACAAAAGAAAAGTATTAACCAATAGATAACGGCAATTCGTTTCTGTTTTTAAAGCGGCGATGAATAAAGAAATGTCTAACGAAATCAATTTCGCCAGAATCAAAAAGCTGCCAACGTATTAAATGCGTAACGAATGAGCGTGTTCTAAAAACATTCTATCGCTTCGAGGGGGAAAAGGTAAAATGTAATTGTTCACTGACAAAAAGGGTAACGTTTAATGCTTCATGTGATGGAAGGATTTCTAAAGGCGTTAAGGGTCAATAGCAATATTGTACATGTTATTGTTAACAAAGGAACGAGGGAAACTTTTAGAGTAATAACTCAAAAGGAGATAAAAATTTCCAAACAATGGAATGAAACAAAGCGTCGCCCGAAAGCATGAAGTGTTTCCTGAAGACACCGAAGTATATAGGCCCAAGGCACCATGGTGTAGGCGATAAAATGTAGCGGCTGAAAACGTGGGACATTTCTTGCCGTCAAACACCAACAGATGCATGACCAAAGAGGAGAGTT